ACTGGGCTAAACTCGGGGACAGGAGCCCTCACTGGGCTAAACTCGGGGACAGGAGCTCTCACTGGGCTAAACTCAGGGACTGGAGCCGACACTGGGCTAAACTTGGGGACTGGAGCCCTCACTGGGCTAAACTCGGGGACAGGAGCCCTCTTTGGGCTAAACTCGGAGACTGGATCCCTCTCTGGGCTAAACTCGGGGACTGGAGCCGTCACTGGGCTAAACTCGGGGACTGGAGCCTTCACTGGGCTAAACTCAGGAACAGGAGCCCTCTTTGGGCTGGATTCAGGGGCTGGAGCGAGCTCTGGGGCTGGAGCCGACACTGGGCTAAACTCGGGGACTGGAGCCCTCACTGGGCGAAACTTGGGGACTGGAGCCCTCACTGGGCTAAACTCGGGAACAGGAGCCCTCCAAGAAAGGAAACCTCAGAGAACAGTACAAAATAATAAAAAAGGCAGTTAATTTCCCTTTAAAACATGGAAAAACCTGAAATTTACTATGGTATATTGTATAGGCATATTTCAGCAGAGGTCAAAGTAATAATTTGGTATTTATTATTTTTATGTTAATTTGTATTATTTTTTATATTTGTATAGATAATATGTAGTCCCTTTCAGAGTGTTAAATTAGCCGTATTAACCTGACTTGAATGTTTTCTATTTTGTATTTAATATATCCATTGATTTGAAATCCCTTTGACTACTGTACATTTTTGAGAATACAGACATTAGTTGTGTGGTGACTGCATCCATTTCAGATGTATAATAACTGTTTTTCAGGAGCCCTCTTGGGGCTGGATTCAGGGGCTGGAGCGAGCTCTGGGGCTGGAGCCGACACTGGGCTAAACTCGGGGACTGGAGCCCTCACTGGGCGAAACTTGGGGACTGGAGCCCTCACTGGGCTAAACTCGGGAACAGGAGCCCTCCAAGAAAGGAAACCTCAGAGAACAGTACAAAATAATAAAAAAGGCAGTTAATTTCCCTTTAAAACATGGAAAAACCTGAAATTTACTATGGTATATTGTATAGGCATATTTCAGCAGAGGTCAAAGTAATAATTTGGTATTTATTATTTTTATGTTAATTTGTATTATTTTTTATATTTGTATAGATAATATGTAGTCCAGGATGAGTTCTTGTGTCCGGTGTGTCTGGATCTCCTGAAGGATCCAGTGACCATCCAGTGTGGACACAGTTACTGTAAGAGCTGTATTACAGACTGCTGGGATCAGGAGGATGAGAAGAGAGTCTACAGCTGCCCTCAGTGCAGACAGACCTTCAGTCCAAGACCTGCTTTATTTAAGAACGTGGTGTTTGCTGAAATGCTGGAGAAACTGAAGAAGACTAAACTTCAAAGTGTGGTTCCTGCTGGAGCTGGAGATGTTCAGTGTGACGTCTGTACTGGAAGAAAATACAGAGCCGTCAAGTCCTGTCTGATGTGTCAGGAATCTTACTGTCAGAATCATTTTGAGCGTCACGAGGAGTTTCATTCACGTAAGCCACACAAAGTGATTGAAGCCACTGGACGACTGCAGGAGATGATCTGCCAGAAACATGAGAAGCTCCTTGAGGTTTTCTGTCGCACTGATCAGAAATGTATATGTATGCTGTGTACGATGGATGAACATAAAAACCACGACACTGTATCAGCTGCAGCACAGAGGACAGAGAAACAGGTATTTAACACTAGACGCTGATGAAATATTGCTGACACTCGTTTCATATGTGTTTATATCAGCACCATATTAACAGCTTACAGCATTCACACTGCTCACCACAGCAGAAATGACATCTCACTTAGGGGTCTCACTTGGCAGCCCCAATCACCTCTGAGCATTACAAGAAAAGGCCAATGAAAATTGGCAAGTGGAATATCAAGCGTAGTGTCAGTTCTGGCAGGCCACGTCAGTCAAGCTCGCATCAGCTAAACCACGTCCACCCACAGGGATGCGACACCCATCACTGCACTCATGTATATATAAGGTCCTTCAGTATCATCGCCAGCCTTCGCGTTGCTCAATAGCTATTTAATGACGAGTTCGGCAGGCAAACACCATCATCTCACTACTAGGAATTGTGCAATCAGGAATTTAGTGAGAAGAATTCGTTCCTCTTATAAACTTCACTACGATTCATTAAAGTTTGTTAACTTGAACACGTGCTTTCGCAACAGTTAAGTTTGTGTTTGATTTTCTTTACACATTTAGCGATAATGGCAATAACTCCCAAACGACTTGCCCCAAAAAAATCTAAACAGTATTACTGCCAAAAGAGCAAAGCTGATAATGTTTCTCAACATTATTTTTCCCTTGATATAATAGGCACTGCCCCGCACAAGCTGTTGTAACGTGCATTAAGCCGGGAGAGATCGCTCTTGTCGTAAGTAAGGGACCGTGGGGTAAATGCAAGTTAGTTATCGCACATTGATCGTAAGTGCCTGATTCGGAAGTAGCATTGCTTCACGCATTGCTATATTGTTGATATGGACCCCATGAGTTATATGACTGACTCAAGAACAAGTTCAGATGGGATCTTAAGGCAGTTCAGGTTGCCATGGCGGAGCAGGGGACTCAGGAGGCCATGGTGGATCCTCTGTGGCCTTAGCCGGCTCGGCCATGGGTATATGGCCCTCCCGCCCCAAATTTTCTTGGGGAAAACTAGGGGCTCTGGGGGGCGCTCTGGAGACGAAGGAGGGCTGGACGGGACCAGCGGAGGCGAAGGAGACTCAGGAGACGTTGGAGAGCTTTCTAGAGTGGATTCTGGGGTGAGGATTGGAGCCGAAAACTCCGGAGGCAGTGCGTAGAGCCAGCTGCGGGCTTGAGTGAGCCGTAGCCGGCAGGCCTGACTGATGATCGGCCGGCCGTCTTGACATCTGAGCGGCCGGCGCTCCTGGGCTGAGGACTACGGTGGAGCTCCGGAGAACACGGGCATGTCTTGGTTTGGACAGGTGGTCAGAGCCGTTGGCGAGGTATGTGGGGGTTCCTGGCGTGAGGTGAGCTGGGGAGACACAGGGGACTGTTCCAGAGTGGGTTGGACGAGGAGACTTAGAATTTGCATTGATTTCTTCCACCTCGAAGTCGGAATTGTTTAAATAGAGGATGAGATTAATCAGCTCGATCAGAGGAAAATTCACATGTGGGGAGATCGCAGCGGATTATATCATCGTCCAGCCCCAGCTGGAAACACGCACCAAGTGAATAGTCGTGCCAGCTCACCTCGTTGGAAAGCGCGAGGAATTCCTCCACACATCTCTCCAATGTCCGACCACTCTGCCGCAGCGCACACAGCTTGTCCTCAGTTGTTTTCATCGTTATCTGTAATTGGTGTTGGATTCTGTCCCGCGGTCGTGGTTGTAGAAATGGCGCACGACGAAGGAGTAGAAGTAAAGGAATCTTTAATATACATCAACACACTTTGATCATTGAAAATAATGTTAATCCAACACAAAGAACATCTAGAAACTGAAGACTTATAAAGACAGGGAAACCAAGGAGTAAACGAGATGAGTACTACAACGCAGGTGAACAGAATGAACGATGATGAACTAATAATGAAAACCGGAACTGAACCAAATAGGGGCAAACAGGAACTAACACAACGTTTGTTGTAACACGTGACAATATGGAAATATACATATATTTCTAATGTTTAACAATCATTCACAATGTACATGTTTCATATTTTAAAATATAGCTAGTATATCTATAGCTATATATATATATATATATATATATATATCAAATGATTAATCGGGATTAATCGCATACAAAATAAAAGTTTTTGTTTGCATAATGTATGTGTGTGTTCTGTGTATATTTATTATGTATATATAAATACACACACATGCATGTATATATTTCAGAAAAA